GACAACAATGCAACGGACACATTCCCAGACCCAGAAAGGTAGTAAGGACAACTGCAAAATAGTTCATGTTACATTATTGGTTCAACCGTAATTTTATGAAGCTACGAGAATAATTCTCCAAATCACATATTTCAGCTTAGTAAAATTACGGTTGAACCACAGATGAACTAAAACTTTCACAAAGTTGTCTTATGCAAACTGTTAAGCAGAAATCTGAGAGCTTTCTGACCCTCCATAGACAACAATGCAACGGACACATTCCCAGACCCAGAAAGGTAGTAAGGACAACTGCAAAATAGTTCATGAACTACAGATGAACTAAAACTTTCACAAAGTTGTCTTATGCAAACTGTTAAGCAATTGTTATTGAATTAAACTGGTTTATCTGCTAATTCAAGCTATAGAAATAACAAAAAAAATAGTCTGGAACATAAGTAATTGATAAAACATTCAATATATGAGTGAACTATGCATTTCAGATGTTCCCATTTACTGCTCATCTTTTATATTTAACTTCATAAAAAGAACTGGATTTACACTAATCCATTTACTGCCACATTCAGTCCTGTGTTTCAAACACAGTTACAATCTCTCTGATTTGAAAAGGTTACCATGTGCATGAAATATACTCTATTTTCCTCTATATACCTCTAGTTTCCTGTAACAGCATATATGGGTCTAGATCAGGGGTGGCGAACGTCGGTCTTGGAGAGCCGCAGCCCTGCAGAGTTTTGCGTCAACCCTAATCAAACACACCTGAACAAGCTAATCAAGGTCTGAACGGTTATTAGGAAGCTACAGGCAGGTGAGTTTTAATTAGGGTTAGAGCTGAACTCTGCAGGGCTGCAGCTCTCCAGGACCGGAGTTCGCCACCGCTGGTCTAGATCATCACAAATTACCAAATATTAGGGGTGAAGTAAACTATCCATTTCAGATGAGTTCACATTTTCTGCTCATCTTTCATATTTACTTTTCATAACTTCATAAGAAGAACTGGATTCAAACTGATCCATTACAAACCACGGCTTGTAAAGCAAATCTGCGCGTGAGCTCTGCATGAAGGCTAAAACTCAGATGTGCGCCAAGAAAGAATCGGAGCCCTTGAGGTTCAAATAAAGGTGGTCAGAGATGCCAGTGAGGTTCAATCTCCTACTGTTTAATGAAAAGGTGATGCACCAAAGGCTAGGTACAGTAAAACTACACAGAGGGAGAAAAGAGAGGATTCAAAGGTCATTCTTAAAACATGATCCGTCCGTCTGTCCACCACACGTTCAGTCCGACAGGTCGCTGCCCGGGTGCGGAAGCTCCGTGTGGGTGGCAGGTGACGTTTGGGGAGGGCCGCCAGGACAAGGAAGGGGCTGGACAGGCGCAGGGAAGGAGCGGGAAGGGGGGCTCAAGTGCACTGGTGATATCACTTTTAAAGTACAGAGAAAAGGGGAAGATTCATTCAGAACTACAAGCTCCCCCCCAACCCTTCCTCTCATCCATCCATCCATCAATCTGACCAATCTTTAACCGATTGAAAGCAAAACGCTGAAAAAGCGTAACAGAGTGCGCCGCCTCCTTTTGTTTTTCCATCACTCTCTCCGTCGGTCCATCCATGTTTTATTTGGTGTGTGTGTGTGTGTGTATCTGCCAGTGTTGGGTGTTTAGTAGTGCTTCTCTCCTCCCTGCTGCGTGTTTCTGTGTGTGTGTGTGTACGCGTATGTCAGTATCTGTATGCGTGTGTGTGCATGTGCAATAGCGCTCATACGGCGTACAGTTCATAGATCTTCTTGGCACAGTACGCCAGGGCCGCCAACGCTATCGTGTTGTGCAGTCTCTTTCTGTGCACGTCGTCCCGTCGAACCAGAACCACCGGCGAGGAGGAGGTGAGCGTGTGCAGCGGCAGCCGCGAGAGCTTCTGACTGTCGTACTCCACCTGGTATTTGCAGCAGGGGTCGAACTGCCAGGAGATGCCGTAGAGCGTTGCGCAGGCCAGGCTCAGAGCGCCAGCGGGGAGCACCACGTAGCGGGAGTAGTCGGCGGGAAGAGCGAGCGGCGTCAGGAGGCACGCGGCCCCTGCCAGAACAGCGGTTTTGTGCAGGCAGTTTCCCACGGCCACCCAGCGGGCCGTCTCGTCTCCGATGCGCGTGGGTTCGATTACGATGTAGCGGTACTGCGCCTCCAGAGCCTGCTCCAGCTCGTACTCGAACTGCTCCTGTGCATTCTCACCGTTGTAGATCTCGTGGACGATGTAACACTCCGTGGCCGCCATCACTCCCCTGAAGAGAGCAATAGAAAATGAAAATTCGTCAATCGGAATTAATCCAATCCAGATTCTGAAAATTCTGTTTCTGAACCCTAAACGTTGCAATCTGATTGACATATTAATTTACATGCATCACATGTAATCGAAACAAAACCCAGTTGGCGCAATGAGAATTGGAGAAAACCAACCTGATATTTTCACAGAAGCTACGGAAAGTATTTTTAGCAAAAAAACTGACCATTTCGTTAGATAAAAAAAAAAACACACACGTTCATAAGATGTAAAACGAATGTAAACAGATGCATCATGGCATTAATTTGATTGAGAAAACTGTTGTATCAAAGCATTTATTTTTTCCTGTTTATCAGATTATTTCAGGTCTACACCAAAACCAGCGTAATAATGTCAATGGAGCTACCAAGAGTTGTTTTTTGCATCAAACCACTACTGGCTCTGCTCGCCCCTTTACCTAAATTCATTACTTCAGACTTATGTGCCCTCTAGAAGCTTGCGTTCTGCAAGTGAATGTCGCTTTATTGTGCCATCCCAAAGAAGCACAAAATCACACATGGACTTTCAAATTAACTGTTCCCTCCTGGTGGAATGACCTGCCCAACTCAATCCGGAGGAAAAATACAGTTTCTTCCAGTTGTCAGGACATTTGCGGCAAACACGAAAGTTGGTATAAAACCAATAAACCCCTGCTAACTGTACACATCTCCTTGAAACCCGCGGTGAAGCGCTATTTTAACTGATTCCTCTCGTGTCAATATGGGTAACACATACTGCAAAAAAAACATGAGTGATCAATGCTGAGACTTCAGATGTAACTGCCATAAAAACACATTTTTGCCGGTCTTTGCACTGCTAATCAGTTGAGGGACCCCAGAGTCAGTAAGCTAATCAAAACAACACATGAGCTCTATTCGAACAATATTTTCTAGTGTTTGCGGCTGTACAAAACTCCCAAAGACTTAGTATTTTAAGAATACTAAAATAACTTAAATTCTGCATAAAACTAAAAAATGTCACGTCTCGTTTTATGAAATAATGACTGGTTTTAATCTAACTGACCTCTCCCTGTTGACTGGGACACCGCGCCTCCTTCCCAGCGACGCCATCTTGAAAATGCAACGGCCTAGACTTGACGCAAAACCCGTCGCGGTGCACTGTGGGTAATGCAGTTCTATGCTCCTCCTCTATTGATTATGTTTAACGTTCTCGAAAGCTTAATAGAGACTACAAATCCCGTGAAACGGTTTAGTTGGGGACCCTACCACCTGAACAGAACGTGTAACGATATTAATATGTACTTTGTTTTGTTAAAGACAGTAGTTTGTAATACATGAAACACATTCTTTCGTACAACAGACCAATAATTGATTTTGACTATGGTTTAATCCGTCAGGCTATATCATTTAGGCTTGTGTTTTTGAATAGCGGAGGTGACCAATCGAAAGCAAGGACAACACTATGGGGCTTTTAATAGGACAAACCATTCTCAACGCGAATGCAAACGTTGCACAAAGAATGTGGTCTGACAAGATGATTTAACTGTTTTGTAGCGTGTCCAAAACTTTCGGTCATGTTGTGAACGTGGATGCGATCGACAAGGCACTCACCCATAATGTGGTCGGTTCTCGTTTATGCGGTGAGTCCCGTCCTCGTACGGCGCTCACGGAGCTGGTGCACAGGGGTGGAGGGGAGCCGTGCTCGGTAACACGTGCAGGCTTTGCGCTCTCTGTCTCCCCCAATAGTGATGGATTGCATAACATTGGAAACAATAACTTGATGTCTGCATGCATTAATATAAGTGAGGAAACAAAGTGAAATAAATTACAAATATTTGTAAGCGAGAGAACCATGGTAATTATAGTCAACTAAAAACTTAGTTGACTATAATTACCGTTACTTGAAATAAAATATAAATGTAAAAACTTGTTTTATTTAACCTATAGTTGCCAAGGCGTTGTTTTTATCTTGATGTATTAAAAAAATATTGAAATACAAAAAAACACACAATTATAATAAAAAGACATAAACATTTTTTAGATGACAAAAACAATAACTAAAACTTAAAATATAAAAATAAAGCTATAATTGTATCTCTATATGATACTTAAATGAAACTGAAGGGAACTAAAAACAAAGCTTTCTGGAATAATTTTTCCTAACCTCTTAATGTGTTCAAATTCCTTTAGAGTAAATTTAGATTTTACAGAAAAAATAAATATTGAATATTCATGAGAAAATATATTTTAAAAAATAGCATTAATTACAAAGTCACTGTAACTGTACTAGAAAAACCCAAATTGAGTACAATTCACTGTTCAGCTATTTAAAGGGACAGTTAATCAAAAAAAAGAAAAAGAAAATTGTCATTATTTACTCACCCTCATGTCATTTAAACCTGAATGACTTTTTGTTTCTTTTTATTTGTGAAAAAAATATAAATATATCAATTGTTCACCATTCAATAAAAGTCAGTGTTGTCTAGATCCCAACGTTCTTCAAAATATCTGTATCTTAACATTTGTGCTCCACAGAAAAATGTCATATGGGTTTGGAACAACGTAAGGGTGAATAAATGCACCGTTTATGAAATGCTAAATATGAATTATATATATATTCAAAAGTACACACAATGATAATGCTAAAATTATGACAATGATAACTCATGGACATAAACACTCATAAATCAAGTTTTATCTTACTTTTTTTTATTATTATTCAAAACCATGGATAGTAATATTAAAAGTACATAAGTGTGTAAAAACAGATGAATTTCAGGCATCTTTAGGCTTTATTACATCACAATTTGACATATCAGAGCCCAGTTGCTTTATTTAAAAAAAGACAGCCTTCATTATCATCACCAGGAATATCATGGTCATCAATGGTGTCAGCACAGAACATGGCATGATGGTCTGCTCTGTGCACTGCCTACCCTGCAAACAACCGATCTTGCTGAAGGCAGTTCATCAACTTTTAATAAGACCCCTGGGAATTTTGGGAGTAACTAACATACACACGCTCATATTCGGTTATTCAACGCACACACACGCATCCAACCACATGTAACAGAATCCCCTTTGCAGAGGTGCTTTATTGTTTTTATAAAGTGTGCATCCTGAGAGGTTCAGCCCTGCAAATATATGGGCAGGCGATTGTCTCCAGAGTCTGAGCTCTTCACTGGCCATAGTATACACAGATACACACATGCAAAAGCACAAGATCAGCCTTGAACATGCACAGAAGAAATAGTCGTTTCTGACAGGACGGTTAGATTGTGATGTCCCTAAAACGCCACGCCAGGCTGAGTGTGCACGTTCTGTGCATGTGGGAACACAAGTACACGTGTAACTCTCTCGTGAGCACCACTAAATCTGAAGGTGTAAGGCCAGAGAGGCATATGGAGTCTAACGTCACTCTTATGATCATATCAAACAGTCGATATTTTGAGTTCATAATAGGTGTCATAATCCCCTCACTTCTCTGGATTGGCTTGAAAGTCCGCTTGAGTCACTGGGAAACTAGCCCACCTCAATGTCCACACTCTTATCTGTCCTAAGAAAACGTTTCGTATTTTCAGATCTCTCCCCTTCTTAAATCGAACTCACTCGCAAACAAAAAATAAATCCCTTTCTTTTGTGGAGTTTCAAGACCAGTCAGACAGATTAGGGAATCCCAAAAGATACCTATCCCACCCAATCCCAAATCATCCTATTAGAATGGAGATCGTCCCCATCTCTGGCTCTCAGTGGAGGACGTGCTCCAAGTAATGGGGGTGAGGGTTTTCTTTGACGTATTTCTGGATGTACCAGCAGGTTAAATGGGCTTTTAGGTCCTCCTCTACCACAAAGTCCATTGCAGCCTAGCAAAACCAATCACAAACGATATTATTTAATGCACACCAACGAACAACATAACGTAATATCATGATGTACTGTATAAACCAGTTCACACTGTTCTTGAGTAACCTTCTACAACCTTGGCAAGGTGTTTGGCAATCTCTCGTCCTCGGTAAGCTTCAGGAACCTCGGTGTGCTGCAGATCCACGGTCTTCTTCCCCACATATTCATACAGCAGAACAGCCCTGTCATGGGAACCTTCAATAGAGATGCAAAAACATTAGTCAGAGGCGGACAGTAACTAAGTACATTTACTTGAGTATTGTACTTAAGTACACTTTTTGAGTATCTGTACTTTACTTGAGTATTATTTTTTCTGGGAACTTA